CGACGATTCAAAACCCTAGGGTCAACGCCGGTCAACGCGTAACCCCAGGTCAACGCCAGTCAACGCGTTATGACCAAAAGTCAACGTTCGACGATTCGAAACCCTAGGGTCAACGCCGGTCAAAGCGTAACCCTAGGTCAACGCCAGTCAACGCGTTGCGACCAAAAGTCAACGTTCGACGATTCAAAACCCTAGGGTCAATGCCGGTCAACGCGTAACCCTAGGTCAACGCTAGTCAACGCGTTGCGACCAAAAGTCAACGATCGACGATTCGAAACCCTAGGGTCAACGCCGGTCAACGCGTTGTGACAAGAAGTCAACATACGGTGATCTAAAACCTTAAGTCATCACAATGTGACAGAGACAGTCAGTTCAATGACACGAGTCAAACTCAACTCACTGGTGGTAGACTCGAGACTCCGACGACGGCCAGGCGATAAACGTAGCGCCGGAAGAATTTCGGTTATTTGTCAAAGCATCGAATAGATCGAAAATCGAAGGAGCCAAGAGTTGAAACTAATTACAGGTCCTTTATGCCGACTGAAGGTTGGACCAATCACATCCAAAGTATTCCAGCCTCTTCTATAAAAGAAACGAGTCCGGAACGCTTTGGAGGGGGTATCTGTAGGCATCGAAAATTGCCCATAGGTCTCCACGAACAGCTCAGTGTTAAAGAACGATGATGAACGTCGCTTTCCGATCCACAGGAGTTCGATTGATGTCGATGAAACGATTGAAGCAAATCGACAAACTACGAAGGCACGGGCTAATCGGGAACCCTGCGGTGTTTACAAAAGGAACAACGCCCTCCATATCTCGTTCATCCTACAGATAATCCAACCATCAGAGCGGGTAGAACTCTTCGTCAGACTTCCAACGCACTTGGAATCACTCAAATCCGAGTTCGGACGAAGAATTTACGGCGGAAACAATCAAACATACGCAACGGAGCGTCTCAGGCTGAACTGGGACACCCGGGGTGTCTCGGGAAAGTCGAAACACCCCAGGGGTGTCTAGGCAAAGCCAAGACACCCCAGGGGTGTCTAGGCACCCTAGGATAAATAGAAGTCTTAGGCCTCACTTTTTAGGGATCTGGATTTTTGGAGAATTGGCGAAGCCCTGCTGGAGTGAAGAGTGATCGAGCACTTCAACACAAGAGAGTTCTTCATCAGATCTACCTCACCCGCATCCGTTCCTTAGCATTACCCCTCGTCGGTAATCCTAAGAAGAGCAAATATCTCGCTTTATCCGAGATAGGCGCTTCAAGTTTCTAGATCTCCTCGCGGATCGACGAAGCTCTGCCCGATTTTTCTGGATCAGATCTGATTGTCAGGTAGTCCACGGATATCGACGTCCCCGTCACAGGCTAAAGACCCACGCAAGCAAGAGACGATAAACGGATCTTGTGTTTATTTTCAAGAAAGTTGTAATTTTTATTTTCGTTATTTGAATTCATTTGTAACGTTTGAAGTTTTAATGAAATCAACGATGAAGGCAACTTTTGACGAAAACAGAAAGTGCTTGCATTCAGTACTACTTCCGATAAAAAAAATTCGGATGATGATGAAGAAATGAGCATGTTTGCACGCA